GCATGACTATATAAAATGGATGGAAATACAGGGAAATACACTTTTTTAGGTGGGATATTGATTAACAACGTCTTGTTACAAGCCTGTCTTCCCTAACTGCATATAAAATGTATAGTGCTAGTTCTGCTGATGAGGCCTTGTGCTTAAATCTCAATATTTCTCAGTTGCTGTGTTTCATTCTGTACAGAGCTTCATCTTTCATATTAAAAAAAAAAGAATCTTCCATAAGGAGTCCATTGTAAGCTGTATTGGTGGTGATACCACCAGTGGAACATTGTTTCTTTTCAAATTCTCTTAGAGAAAAAGAGATTTAATAATTGACTTTGCAGTTTTGTGTTATAATTTGACAGTAAAACATGTACTAGATTTGTTGGTGTGGTTTTTTTTTTTTTTTTTTTTTTTGTTCTCAGTTGCAGATGTATACGTAGAACTGATAAGCAAATTGCTACATGTAAAGTAGAATTGCATCATGGAGTACTGTAAGCTTTTTCTAGCATGTGTCTAACAGTTTTTCATGTTAGATAATCATATATCTTTCTCCTGGCATGATAATATATAAACTTGCCTTTTAAAAATACTCGATAGTGGAGGAAAAGTCAGAATGTTTGTCCTTCAGGAGTCTCTTTGCAGACCTGGATAAACATTGCAGAGATGCCCGAGTCATTAGGGATTTCCTTTGCTAGCTAGGCAATTCCACCCCATTGCCCTTTCAATGTAAATAACTAGCCTTAATTAATGGAAATGCAATATATACTAAGTAATGACAGACCAAGTAAATTAACAAATGCAGGGTAAGATGATATAGCTCTGTTGAAGGCATCAGATGAGGATCTTGCTCCTTCACCTCATTAGTTTAGGCCAGTTAAAAACAATATGAAGTATAAACTACAGTTTTTTACACTGTACAACAGCATTGAAATGAAATACGTTTTAGACTTTTGTTAGAATAAGTAATTGGAAGCACTAACCAAGTCATTTAGACATGTGAATAGCTGGATTTGGTATGCAATCCAGAACAGCTGTCTGCTGTACCCACAGCTACTGACAATCACAGAAAGGAAGGCCAGACTTTGAAAACCCATTTCTGACAGTGCACAGATAAACAACTGGGTGTGAAATTAACAATGAAGACAATATTAATCCTTCCCCATTCCTGCTTGTCTTGGGGGGTTTGAAAGGTAAATGTAATTAAGTAAAAATTGAATTTACCAGTCTGCATGTGGAGGCTCATCTTTTCTTTTGCCTTCCCTTCCCTTGCTCCCCCTACCTCTTAAAATCTCTTTTTACTTCCTTTTTCTTTATACCAACAACCAATGAAATGCCAAATTCCCCTAGCTTGGTTTAATTATTCATTTCTTTGGAATGACCCAAATGTAAAAATAGAGCAATGCAGCAGGGACATAGGATGCTTTTCTTTTAGCTCTGTCTTTGTGTTCTGCCTCCCTTTCTCCAAATGGCCATGTCTTTTCTCCCTTTCCTCCCTCAGTATTATTCTTTCTCCTTTCTTCAGACTCAGTAATCCTTAAATATTTCTGAGGAATGGAGGAAAAGGAATTGGGCATGGGAAGTGTAATATTTCATAATGAGAAAACAGAAGGGGGGAGCCCCCAGAAATTTCACAAATTATCCTGAGGAAAATTAAATTTGCGGGTGGTATGGGGCCATGTTCTAGATCTTCATAATTCCATTCGGCTACAAGAGTGGTATCTGCCTTTTAAGTTTACTGTTGCTTTTGTTTCCGTTTTCTCCTGTCCATCTCCACCTGCAGTTACTTGTTCATGACTTGGAAAATAAGTTTTTTGTAGCAGGGACTGCTTTGTGGTTTTGTGTGTGAGTGTGGTTTCCACATACTTGATATTACCAGGTTAATGGTGATAAAAATAGAAGTCATCATCCCTCTCTGGATTTGAGACTGTGCTCCTATTTAAAACACAGAAAAGACTGACTTCTGTGGTAGCGATAGTGTTATTACAGTGTTTGGGCAATAGGTGTGTATTATTTCTTGGGTACACCAGTACTACTGCTTGCAGAGTAAGGAACCTACACACAGCTTCTTTAAAGGGTGAACTAGCTGTGTGCCACCTCAGTTCAGTTCCCATGTTCCAGTTCAGTTTCAAGTTAGCTTGGGCATCTGTACTATGCATGCTTACAGCCCTTCCTCTTGTACAGGGGGGAACAGAGATGATCATAGTGATTTTTTTCTGTGCTACTAAATAACATTGAACAGCAGCTTCAGAATGAGAGCGAAGCATGATGCCATGGGTTAAACCACTGGTTGAAATGAACCTACCCCCTGCAATGTTTGGACATTTTTTGGATGGAAGTGTTTTTGTCATAAATGACAGCTACACTTGATTCTTTATTACCAATAGGTGTTTGCATATTATTTGTAAAATAAGAGGTGTATGCTGCATTGCACTGTAAAAGTGTTGTATAGGAATCATTAATGTGGAAGACAAGCATATGCTTTTGCTACAATATTTATTTCTCTAAGTAAATCGTTCTTCTGGATGTATCCAGGCCAAAAATATAATGGTCTCACAATAGTGCTGTATGGCACAGAGTTCACTGATTGTGGTGTAAAACAGGAAAAGAAAATGGAAGAGGAAGTGCAGAGGCTTTTAAGCATGTGGACGAATTTTTCTTCTGCATCCTTCCTTTTGGGTAGTTGAAAACGTGGCGTTTCTGACCAGGATGTTTTCATGTGGTGTGGTGTTTTCTGTTTTTTTTTTTTTTTTTTTTTTTAAAGGACAGTGTAGGAAATTCTCTTAACAAGAAACAAAACCATTTCTTCCTGCCAAAGGGGATAGGCATCTTTTAATTCCTGAAGTGATTCTGAACTCTAAAGGTCAGTAAGACTCAGGGACTCCATACATCTCATTGCTGTTCTTTCAATCTATAAGCAATTAGTTGCTTGGGCCTGCCAAAAAAAAAGAGGTAGCTTATTGAGATATATATTTGTCAAATATATATATATTTGTCAAATATTTGTGTTCGATTATTGCCTGAAATACTAATTGGCTGCTTTCTCCTAAATAACTCATGGCAGTTTTAGAATTTGAAATAGCGCACCTTCCTGTTGGTACTAGTCTGAGCTTCACCACTGAGTATCTGTGATCACATCAGCACAAAAATGTAGAATTTTTTTTTAAAATTGAAAACGAAAATACCTCTTGTAGGAACAATACCAACAGCAGCTTAAACTTATTCAGGATTCAGTCAAAACACGCGAAGTTCACAAGTCTCAGGAGCAGGTCTTCTCCAAAGGCTTAAGAGAACATTGTAGGAAAGGTGAAATCATATGTAGACAACAGAGGGAAATGGCGTTCTTAGGCTTTGCCTTTCTTTTGATACATATGCTGTGATACTAACCAGCAATTGAGATCATTTACTCCTACTGTAACAGCATAAAATCATGTTCAGGAAGAATCTGTATTATTAACCTTTCCCTTACACTCTTCCAGTTCCCTGGCTAGTTCTTGGCCAACTGGAAAAGTGGCAGCAATGTTACATACATATGGGCATGATGTGGCTGGCTGGCTAGCTGGGTGTTTTGGTTTTTTTTCCCCCACCACCTTGTTTCACCAGGCTCAGAGCAGTCCTGAGTAGCTCTAAGGCGCTGCCTCTGACAGCTCACAGTGTTTTGCCACCCGGGTAGTTCCCCCCCCCCAGAGGACTCTTGGTCTGAACGCTGAAGAGCGAAGCGAATAGACGTCCTTTCTTGTCCGTGACAAGAAAGGGGTGAGTATCGTTCAGCAGAGGGTTTATTTAACAGCTTGCTTGTATCCACGGGCTAATATCAACCAGTAAATTGTTAGTAAGAAATAAGTTTAGCAGGGGATACTACTTCCACACTGCCCAGTATTAAGCTGTAAAAATCATCCCTGAAATATGCCTCCTTCTGTGATGAAGAGTTACAAGTGGGTTATAATTCACCGTGTATTTCTGAATGCAGCGATATACAAGAGAAAGGAAGACCGCTGCAGCAGGTGATGTGGGAGTGGCGAGATTACTGAATAAGGAAAGCTAGAAGAAGAAATTACTTTTCATGACACTAGGGAGTCGTGTTTCAAACTTGGCTTATAATTGTATGTACTTTACCTGTCTCTGAAATTCTCTTACATATATTAATGTTATAGCAATCTATAGGAACAAGATGGGCAGTATGCCAAAGGGGGTTGTAATTTTCAAGTACCTCCGTATTGTTATTGGAGAAGAGAGGAGGATAGCTACTAACAGTGTAATTATGTGGCAATTCCAGGGAAATTGATTATTATTAGCTTTTTATGATCACACTAACAAAGTCAATGATCCAAGATGAAATAGCAAAAATTAGTGCTTAAGCAATATTCAGCAACAAGGTATCACCAGGTGAGAGTGGATGTATCTGAAACCAGCTAATTCCCGAAACTAAAATGGCCATCTCCCACCAATTATAATGATGGATGTGCTCTATTAGAGCCTGATCCACTTTAATGGGGTACTCCCAGGATGAGAGGCCATGTAAGTATGCAATGACACATACAGTATCAAGAAGTGGGTGGGTGTTTATTCTAAATACCCACATCACTGGGGTATTTGCACCTTTAACCAACAGAAAGAATTACAGGTAGTGAATACAGATCAGTTTCTTCAAGTTGGTTATTGCTTTAACAAAATCTTTTGTCACTTTTTCTAACATCCATCTTCAGTCCCCCAAACACAGCCCAGAGACTGGATACCTGCATAGTCAGAACTATCATTTGCCAGCTATGTCTCCCCCTTTGAGGCTCCATGGTTTTATAAATAATAATTAAAAACACTTCTCTGTGATGCGAGAAGGCTTTTCTAAAAGGAGAGCAAGTTGCTGCAATACAATAGCATAATATTTTTGAAGGTCATAATAATAAAGTAGGGGAAAGAGAATAATCATTATTGCTCTTTCTTGTAATTAGTTTGCTTTCCGATATCCCACACTGCAACTAGAACATTATTCAAGAACACCCATCACAGTGCTTAACAAGATTTAATGTACATTTATTCTTAACATGTGGAACATATAAAGATTTTATACTGAATAAATGAAATTCATTAAGCCAGAGGAAAAGGAGGAATTTACATCAAGTTTTTTTCTGTTTTAACTACATTATCTTGAAATACAAATGCAGATTCTTATCACTGAAAAATCTTTGAAGTTGTGTTTCTTCCTTTTTTTTTTTTTTTCCTGTATATATTTTTTTGTCTGTAGACTGGTAACCATTTTCTTAAATCAATCCATACGTAACCATTTCCACACCTTGATTTATAAAGCAAATTGTGATCGGCTGCTCTCCCGAAATAGAGCATGACTTTATACATACAGAAACTTGTACATTACCCTCAGTTGTTGGTTTTCTGTGTTGGGTTTTTTCTTTTTTCTTTTTTTTTTATTATTTTTTGGAGATATGGCCCAAATGAAAGAAAAAATAATTCTACTATCACTTTGTAGATACCACATCATGAAAAAGAAACTAAAAACTTTTACTAAAAAAAAAAAAAATGAGGGTATGTTTAATGTACAACTTCTATATACATCACGGCCCTTAGGCAATAAAAAAATATTTTAAAAAATGATTAAAGGAATTGTGAAGAACTGTCATTGTGGAAGGTCAAAAAAAAAAACAGATGTAGACAAGACAGTTCTGGTGAGGAAGCAATTGATGTTTATCATCAGGTTTTGTTTAAAAATCTTTTAACTTGACTTTTTCGTTTTGTTTTGCTCCTAGCCTAATGTAACCACTTCTCCTGAGGAGAAACCAGTATCGTTTTATATTTTGACTACTGACTGACACCCTCCTTGATCCCCTACACCTACATCACTAGAATTTTCTATTGCACAGAGCTTTGGGTGATGGTATACAAGTTTTTTTTTATTTTTTCCTTATTTGAAAAAATAAAACACACAGGAACTTGGTATGTTGGTTATTTTTCACCTTTTTGTTTCAAAGTGGTGAGATTTTTTTTTCCATCATACAATGGTTTGCCATAACATTTTTTTTAAAAAGTCACTAGTTCGCTTCCCAAAAAATATGCAATACAAACATGGAAAAGAACATTGAAAAGGATAATCTATGGAAAAAAAAAAAAGTGTGACCTTTGAATGTACTAGACAGCAACTTTGGTTAAAAAAAAAAATAAAATAAAAAGATGTACTTATACACATAGACAGCAAATATTAATTTCATAACTGTTCAAATTAATAATTTCTTTAATTCCCAATTGGTAAATAGTGAATGGGGCAGAGGAGCAAAGATTCTTTTTTTTTTCCTTCTTCCTACGTTGGATAAACAAGAACAGAAAACAGCCAGTTATATGTGACCCTCTAATCTCCACTCACACATGCTTGGCTTCTCACTTATGTCATAACTGCCCAATCTGAAAAAGTACATCACAGATGACAGATGCAACCAGAGAGTTCAGGACAGCAGATATTGAGATATCCAGCAAACGACCCTCGTGCAAAAGGAACTCTGAGCGGTTCTCGTCCACTCTAGCCATGGCCAGCAAGGCCTTGGCTGCCCTGCACATCATGTCTACGCTAGGTGGCTCCAGAGGTGGAGGCTGCATGTGCATGAGGTTATGCTGGCTCTGCTGGTACTGGGCCATAGTGACCCCATCCTCCAGGAAGCTTATCAAGTTTCCGATGCTTCCCTTCTGCACAGCTATTGCCCTTGCTGCTAATGTGTCCCCCTGGGCAAGGTTCGATAAGAGCGCCATGGACATTTCTCGGCAGACCGGGTTTTTGCGGTCCCCAACGTACCTAACTAAAGTAGCATAGAGTTTCTCCTGACGACTGAATGGGGGGGTGGCCAAGATAAGGTCCACATTATTGTCCTGGATACTGAGCTTACACAGGGTCTCCAGCACAAGTCTCTGAGGCGAAAGAACTGAGTTGGGCCCCACGGTTGGAAAAGGATCCTGTGCCTCCGCAGATGGGCACACCATCCAGTGCAGCAAGCCATCCAAAATTGGCAAACAGATGCTTTCTGTGTAAGCAGACAAGTCTAGCTGCCCAGAAATGTTGGCTAATGTGACCAATGTATTATCCCTCAAGACCTCGAGGCAGTCCCACCACCACTCATCCTTGCTGCAGGCCACCCCTTTGTCCTCCTCTTCCTCTTTCTCGTAAGTTTGCGGTGCTCGCTTTCTTTCTGGATGCTCATGGTGAAGAAGGATCAACTTTCCCAGGATCAGCACCAAGCCTGGATGTTTGGACATTTCGGTGTCATTGCCAGGCACAAAAGACAAGCTACGGACGATATTTGACACACAGATGCAGCGTTTGGCCAAGGAGTCTTGCCAGTGAGTTATGGTGCATAGAGGAGTCTCATCCCGGCTCCTTGGCTCATCCTCTAGCAGTTTAATATTCCGGTGGCTTTTGGCTTGATGGATCCCAAAGGGAAATTTACTGCTCTCTGTTTGGGAACCCGAGTTTGAGTCTTCAGGCAATGCTCCTGGCCGAGCTGAGAGGACATCATCAATGGTTGCTGTTATACTTTTTTCTTGTTGTTCCTCAGATTCACCTTTCCCCTCGAGGTCCTTCTTTTTGCTTGGAGAGTTCAAGGGAGGAGGGGCTTTCCTGCGCGGAGGAATCTCCATCTTGCTTTCAAAGTGAGTCTGGATATGCTCAGTTGTGTCACCACCCCCAAGCTGCCAGTGGAGAAGTCCACTATCAAATTCCTGAACGCGTCCAAGTTTGTCAGATCGGTCAACGACAAAGAGATTATTTTTCTTTACAATCTTTATTGGCAGCTTGTCAAATTTACTGGCTTGTTTTGGCCTCTCACTTGGATCAGCAATGGCACCAGGAGTGGAAAAAACAATGCTCTTTTCTTCTCCTTCTACCTTTTCATCTTCCGCCTCCTCCTCATCTTCATCAAAATAGTCAACACATTCATCGTTCTCCTCTTTTCCAGTATCCTCTGCCAAGGACTGGCTATCATCTTTCTTGGCTGCTTTGTGATCAAGTGCTTTGTGGCCTGGATCTCCCACTTCATATTCCATAAGGATTCCAAAAATGTCAATCAGGCATTTTCTAAAATATTCTACTAAAAGCTCAAGAAATCCAGACAACTGAGGGGAGAAGAAAGAACATAAAAAATCAGATAAATATTTTTGTCTGCATGCAATTTTATTAGGAACACTGATGCATACATCTCTGAGTATCTCCCTCCTCCTGCTGTGGACTTGTGGCTAGGTCCTGCATGGCAGAAGTTAATCAAAGGACATTCTTCTAGCATCTGTCCAAACAGCAGATAATGTCAAACTATCACGGCTCCGTGTGCTTAAACTGTAACAGCTATGAGAAGTACAGAACTTTATTCCTATATCTCCTTGAAGCTACACTAGACATCTAGCCTAGCCGTTCTGTCCCCTTGGAAGTGTCTAGTATTCTTCATTTTCTGTACAGAGTACGGAAGTTTCTAACTCACTCAGTTTTTCTGATTTGTAGTTTTATTAGATGCCTAACGTTTACAATTCTTTCTCTCCTCCTTTATCTCTCAGTCTCTAAAACCAACTGTTCTGTAGAAATCTGCAGTTCAGGGTCTAGGTACTGACATGCTAGATTAATATCCCACCTCTATTGGAATAGTTCCAGTTTTGCCTGGCAATATTTAAAACCTGTTATTGGAGCCCGGTACTGTAAGTCACCCTTCAGAAACAGTTTTCATTTAGGTTTAATCCTCTTAATTAACTTGTAATCACTTTCTTATGGAAAGGCAGTAGCTGGACTTGGTATTAATTTACCCTCAGTGACTTTATTATTAAAAATTCTTTGCTGTTATGATGTATTTAGCCTGATTGTCTGGCTTTTAATTTTTTTTTAATAGTGGGCTAATAGGTTTTCAGCAAAATGTATCCTTTTGTCCATCCTGTATTCTCTTATGATTGCCAAACCCTCGAAGAATTAAGAACAAACTGATGCTTATGAACTGCAGGAATTATCAGTCATCATATGGAATCCTGACTGCCATTGGAAATAGAGTCCAAGGCAAAAGTAACAAAAAAATATCTATTTAAAATATGCCTCGCATTCTGTGCAACTTGCACAGGGTGCATTAATGCAATTTCTAATAGAACTCAGAGGAGATTCACTTCACTTAACTTCAAACACCTGCAACAGTTACACACCTAACCTAATTATCTAGATTCCTTTTATAATCAATGGTCTTTTACAGGCCATTTCTAGGGTATGATTCATCTGACCTATTTTAGGTCTCTACTTCAGGATGAAATGAATCATGCTATAGATATCCCTAGTTCTAAAGTTAGGTGGGATGAAATGTACCATTTGTGTCTGTATTTGAAAAAAAAGGTCATTATATTTAAAAAATGATGAGTTACACTATTAGTAACCAAGGAATGAACGGAGCAGAGAAACTGAATATTTAATTTGTACAAATTTTAGATGATGTGCATTATCAGCATGCCATCTATTACTACCACCTAACAGGCCAATGGTTAGAGCAGGGCTGAAAAACGCTGGGAGGTAGCGAGGCGAAAGCACACGCTGTTAAATCCTGTGTTACTTGCATCCTGTGGACAGACAGTGGATTTTAGCCTTTAAATTGTCAATCTGATATTTCTGTGCAAACTTAATTTACTGGTAGAAGAAACCAAACAGAAAATCAGCAATTAAAAAAATCCCACAGCCTAGTATTGAACTACTGAATAAGACAAGTAGTCACCAAAAGACAGCCTCAAATCAATTTAATATAGTTTTGCAAAGCCTTTTACGGAAACACAAGTTAAGCAAGATTACTAACATATTGCTGTTTTCTGGGATTGTCCTTGTACTATTATGAGCGTGAATTTACACATTAGTCTTCTGTCACTGCTAAAATGCTTACATTCCTACATGCTCCTTTCTACAAGAGATAGATACCCTTCTTTCAGGCTTATTATTTCCCCTATTCAACCTAAAGCTATCTCTTGTTGCTCACTGTTAGCAATCATAAAAAAGGCAAGTTTCACAATATGCAAATTTATGTTAATTATAATAAATTTTAAAGGACTTCAACATTTTTGTAGGTATCTTTCTTACTTCAGTTTTCTTTCCTTGGAAAGTTAAGAAGTATACTGCTTTCCCACCTACCTGAGAGAGGTTGAAAGTAGCAACAGTGCTGTCATCATACAGAAGAATATTAATAGTGTCTAGCGCCCAGGTACTTTCAGCCAAAAGACCAGATTTAAGAGACATCATCACTCTCCAGGCCTCAGGAGTTACTGGAGAAAGGAGGAGAAGTAAAACAGTATTAGTGCATCGTTGGAGACTGTTAATGAGTTCTGAAAGATTAAACTGTGACATTCTGAGGATGCAGAATTTAAATGAAATAGTTACTGAAACACTGGTTAAGACCCTGCCTTCACCACTTAGTCCTGTTCAGTTTTTCTGTAACTGCTGCTCAGCCTTAATAATGGAGAATATCTTAACAGGGCCATTCTTCCTGACTTTGCTGAAGCTGAAATAATCGTACGAACTTAAAGAAGTTGACTAAACCAAATAATCGGTAAACAGAGGTAGCATACTCTGTCAGGAGTGTGGGAACTTGAAGCATGAGAACTTGAATGTATGAAACTAACAGGAATTCAAGATAAGAAGATGCGTGGGAAAGAACAGGGGGAGAAACAAACATGACAAATAATATGGAATGAATAAATGTGCCATTCAGGGGAGACAGAGACTATAACTACACAGCAGAACAGCATGAGCTGCCACAGAACAAGAACACAGAAAGCTTTGCTCAGCTAAATGCTGTATTGGTGATTTAACAGACATTCTGAAGGACCTTTCAACACATATCATTTGGAAATCTGAGGCAAGCTTCATTTTTAATGCATTTCTGGAGACCTCAGGTCTCCATATAAAATATTGCTTTCATTTCATGTCAGATTGTCTGGGATGAGTTTTACCTGTCATCCTCACTGATGCATATGTTATTACATTTTTATTGAAGACAATCACATTATAGTTACCAAAGTTAACTATTGGTCAAAATAGTCTTAAAATGTAAAAGAAAATCAAAATCAAAGTCCCTTTCTCCCAACCTATTTCAGTATTTGGCTTTTTTTTTTTTTTTTTTATGCTTACCAATATCTTTTGAGGTAATCTTTCGTCTTGGTTTTAAGACTGGTTGGGATGCTTCTACAGAGCCTGGGGGGAAGGTAATTTCTCGCCTAATCGGTGGTGGTTGGGGTGGAGGTCCTGTGACCTGTGACACTGGAACTGTGGGTATAACCTTTTGCATCTTCATGGAGGGTAGGAAAGGAGACTTGCTTGGAGACATACGGTTTTCCAAAGAGCGCTGGAAGGATGCTGGACTTGGAGCTCTAGAGATGTGGTTTGGCATAGAGGGTGGCGTCTGGTAGGATGACTGAGGAGGTCTAGTGATAGGCTGCATGGAGGCTGAGGATGACATATAAGAAGGCTGACGTTGGTTGACATGAGAAGGCCACTGACTCTCGTGGTTTATCCTCTGGTCAGGTACCATCATATCATCAGTGCGATTCATCCCTGGATACGGTGGGGCCTGTGCAGGGCCTCCTGGACCTTGCCTGTTCTGGTAAGGGTAAGGCATATCATTTCGTGTTGGCCACATGTTCTGCTGAGGACCTTCGCTGGAGGATGATGACTGCATGGGGCCACCAATCATCTGGGGAGGTATTCCATGCTGCTGCATTTGTCCTGGGCCCTGCATCCTCTCCCTGTTATATGGATACGGATACTGTCCCTGCATGGGCCTCCTGTCAGGCCCCGTGTAAGCGTTGCTGTACTGGTTATACATTTCCTGTTGCTGGTTGCCATACTGCATGTTATACATATCCCCTTCATGGCGTTTGGCTGGAGGCCCATACATGCCATCCATGTGTCGCTTATAGTTCTGAAAAAAAATTTTGGAAAGAAGATGCGTCACTTTTACTCCATACACAATACAAATATATTGGCTGAAGGTGCTTAGTTCTAGAGGGATCGTGCTGATTCCAGAGCCAGGCGTGCAGTGCTATGGTTAGACTTGATCCAGTGCTTTCTTTTTAAGCCTCTGTTTTGCTGCACTTATAACAATGCTAAAAGGAAACTTATCCTCGGGCCAAATTTTTTATGCTTGCTCTCATTTTCTCCCTTTCCCTTTCCTTTCCTATCTGTCAGATTAAATTCCACTGGTCATTTCAGACATGCATGAAAAGGCAACAGTCCTCACCAACTAAAATGTTTTAACTTCTTTTTTATGCTTAGTCTACTAAGAAAAATCTTAAAAAAAAATCAAAACCACTCAGTGAATCTTTTCAAGAGACAAGCACTGAATAAACTCTTAAAATAACAAGATATGCTGCAAGCATATACGTCTGAAACACTGGATCTTACGATAGGGCATAGGCTACATGCAGTAGATTTATTAGTAGGAGAAACCATTCTGCTGCATTTGCTACTCTGTGTAATTCCCAGGAACATGGCCCCGTTTGGGCAACCAGCCCTCTTCCCAAATCATCCAATCACATTTAATTTACTGTGAGATTATTACAGCAAATGGTCACATCCAAACGTTCTGTTCTAGTTTATGCAGGTTCCTACCCTGCTGATCAGTAATGAATTAAGCAATGTAACTAACAGCTGCCACCTATGGTTTACTCCCTCTTTGTTTCTCACCCTCTCAAGTGGGGAATGGTGTGTGAGGTAAGCTGTTTTACCTTGGGGGGAGCTGGGCTGTTTTTAAATCATACAAGCTTGTATGTATTTATGTTTAAGATGGCAGAACAAAAAAAGACATGTTGCAGTTTGAGGGGAAGGTGGTAAGGTTTGCAGCTGTCCTTAGTTCCTGTGGGAGTTTGTTCCACAGTTCAAATCACACTGAGTGCTCTGAAGCAAAAAATGTGAATTAAATGGGTGATTTTTGAATATATAATCTATGGCAAATTCAATGTTATGGCTCCCCCAGAAACTGTAGCTCAGTCACATTGCACAATGTATACTAATGTACTAGAGTTAAGATCAGATAAAATTCTGTATGTATTCAATACGGGTCAGTTAAAACACCTCTGGGATTCATAAACTCATCTTCCAACTTTGGTGCACATAAAACCACAACTACCGTATTGCATGAGAGTATTTTTTTTTAAACTTGCCATAGAGCTGTCGGGCTATCTGAGAAATACCTATTTTCAGCCTTATATAAACTACTTGCTGTAGTAAATTCCACCCTTGGGGCCAATTTATACATTAAGAACTGACTTGGCAGTTGCCACACCTAAAAAGGTGGTATTTGTTTTGCCACAGTGACTCAGAGCGCTTAAAGTAGACACTTGGGAATGAAGCACGTGCCTTTTTAAAAGCAGTTCAGCGCTCTTGTATATGTAGTGGCAATACGCTTAATGGTACCCAGTGCTGAGGGGAGTGATGCACCTGAACTTCCCCTCCTGAGTAAAGGTTCGGCAGGAGACTGAGGCTGCACAGTGTGTGTCTCTCTCCGCTGGGGATGCGCAATTCTGAGATCTCGCAGAAGACAAAAAGACACCGACACAGGTCACCTGCTGCATAAATAGCTCTCAAGGTACAAGCATTTGTACAGGAATTGAAAAACCTGGCTCAAAGTGCTTCATTAGCCCCATTCATGCTCCAAGCACCTCCTTCCCAAGTCATTCCCTAGCCTTCAGGTTGTAGATAAAGCTTCGAAAAGGGTCATTTTTCACATTCTTCCTGTACCACTATAGAGTTAGATTTAGGAAATTGAAAATAAGCTAGTGGCAACCTAATCTCTAGCTAAATGAAGAAGTGGAATCCTCTGGGAGTGGGAGGGAGAGGCCAAGGGCGGCCAGGATCCTTGCCCTTCATTCTTCACTGCTTTTTTGCATGAATGCGTTTTGCATTCAAGAGTCATTGTACAAAGCACATAAACAGCACTAAGGACAGGGCCAAATATATTTTTACAAATTCTAGCTGTCTCTTGCTTAAATGAACATGTAGGTAATATATTCCCTGCATACGTTAGCATGGAATATCACAAACCGTTCTGTTATATATCTCTGCAATTTCCTCACTAAATCACCTAGACTGCTAGCATATGCTCATCATAAAAAACAACAAAACCATTTTTTGATTATGCTATTTTAGATTATGCTATTTTATAATGTTATGAACCAAAGAGATAAGCAAGAAATTCTGAAATTGAAATTTATATACATTCTCAGTACAGTGCAACCTAAGATCTCCTGTTTTAGGTTTCCCTCCCCAAATTTCCTAGTAAAACTCTACCCCAAACTGAAAAGGACTATCTGAAATTGGCTGAAAACTACCTTACATTTTAATTTTTATATTATAAGGAAGTGCTTTCTATTTTGGAAGCTAACTTCAACTTTAGTTATTGTATGACTAGAAATGAATTAATAACACGCAGGATGAAACTCTGATCCTGTTGAAGTCAGTGGAGTTTTGCTATTGACTTATAAGATAGGATTTTGCCCACAAGGTATTAATGATACACCTAACAAAAAAATCTTATTAATTAATATCATCTGTATTTTCAAAGTTATTACGCAGTTAGGGAGACTAGAATGTACAAATGTTTAAACTATTTTTAACACTAATAATGTTCTCTCTCATGTATTTGTACCATATTATTACTAGAGACAGCATGTGGGGAATATGCCATCTGATCTCTATTAAAGACAGGTATTTCATATGACCCACCACAGCATTCTAGATAATTGAGACTGCTGCACATTTTACTTCGTTCCAGTTTTCTGTTGGGTTCACATGGCTGTGTGATGTTAAGGCCCTTTAACCTGCCAGCAAAGCAGCTTTCCTATTTGTTTCTAGAATTGAGGCAGCATCACTTTACTAGCCTACGAATTATACTTTCCCAGTCTGCTGGTTATTAACTTGGGACAATCACTTGATACACGTCCAAAGCCACAGAACATCTGTTAAAATGTACACTCTTCCAGTGTAACGAACACATTTTCCTATAGCTGCACATATACTACTTCTCCATATGGGCTGTGATTTTGACCAGAACTACAGTGCTCCTCTGTGCCAAAAGACATATATTGTATAAACAAACTTTTGAATGTATACAGAATTTGGGGGCGACATTTATTAAACAAGTGTTATGAATATAGCTGTTTTCCCCTCTCCTACCTGCTGCTGTGGATACATTCCAGGTTGATGTCCTCCATATGGTGGCTGTCCTGAGGGAGGTCCTTGTCCTGGATACTGCTGCCCGTATGGTTCATGCCTAAAATGAAGCATTCAAATTAACACTTAGAGCTGCTGGAATTTCCAACCCACCAGGAAAAGCAACGTACTCTGATGATCTTGCACCTTGAAGATATTTTCCATTTGGAAACAAAGTGAAGGTGCAGTGTGGTATGGTCCTGAGCCTGATGTAGTAAGCTCTGCTGGAGCTGGTAGTGGAAGGAAGGAGATAAAGCAGATAGAAGAAAGGAGGAGCAGTGAAGATGCAACAGAGAGATTTAGAGGTAGCAGTCAGGAATGGGAACAGGGTACGGTCAGCAAAGAGGTATGAAAGGCAGCTGCAGCCGCTGGGAATCCATCTTAGGTGGAAAAGTATCGGATGTACAGCTCCAAGGTTGCAAGTCAAAATTCTTGTATTTTAACAAGTCAGTCTCCAAGCCAGCTACTTTCTGGATTATATAAGAATATAATCAATAGTTAACTGCCGATTTAAAGTGAAATCATGATTTTAGTCTGATAATAGCTACAGAAAGTGAGTACAAATTTCATTACTATACATAACATTTAAATACATCATGACTGAGTAAAAACAGTACTCATAATTTTGCTATTGTTCATGTAATTTTTAATTAAAGCTACATAATGAAGCATACACATAAGAGGCAGAGTTGTGTTGCACTTGGAAACTTACCTGTGGCCTTTAAGACCTCTGAGGAGCACTACAGTGCAACTGCAATATTTCTGGCACATCTGAATGAAATTTAGGTTGCTGAAGTGAAGTACTTGGAATGTATTAAGATTGATAAATAACACTGTATTGCAGACCAGTATGTCAGTAATTCCTCTCTGTACACTACCAGTGAGAACACATCTACAATTTGAGTATAATTAGGGAAGTAATATATCAGGGAGAGTCAGAGAAACAGAGGGCTGGGGAACGTGAAATCTTAAAAGAACTAATGGGACTTAAATTTTTCCAAAAGCATAGAAAACTCAAGTTTTTTGAGAGCTGACCAGAGTGAAAGCAATAGCTGTTCAGTATCCCCTAAAATTATGACGTGGATGGAGAGAAATTACCTAATGCCAGTTAAAAGAACAATATAACTGATGGGAATTGTCTACAGTTGTCCAAGATAGTACATGCAATAGGATAAAACTGAGCAAATGTACATGTATGTTATACATAAAGGAACACTTTCAAAACATTCCATTTGTTAGCCACAGGATAACCACAAGCCAGGTGAAGTTGTGGAAGCTTCAGAACTGGTGTCATTTAATGCTGCTCTGGAGAACTTGGGCCTATAAAATATGTTCTAAGTTCAGTGTTGGCAGGGAGGTACACAAGGTAGGACGTATATTCCTTTTCTAACATCTCTGACTCTATGGCTACACAAAGTCAACCGATTCACCCAAGCCTCCACCCCCCAAGAAACTGAACCAACGGTAAAAGCCTAAATAAGAACAGACAAAACAGAAGCAACACACCAAGAAGCCACATAATCTGTCTATATGCTCTCACAGAGGCTGCTAGCACTCGTTAGCTGGTTATTGCAGATATTACAAACAGAGAAATCAGTGTTCACCTTTGCTGGCCAGGGTAACGATTAGGAGAGTACATGCTTGGGTCACTGTTTGAAGGCACCATGTTGCTTTGACCAGGTGGTCCCATACTGCCTTCAGGACCCAGCCCATGATCCGACCTAAAAAATGACAAAGGAAACCTCATTCTGTAAAAAGCACTTATTCTCCAAAATTGCCAACAAAATAAAACAAAACACACCCTTTAAAGAAAACATTCTCTTGACTTATCACCTTCCACTGGAAGCCTTACTCTCACTGACTCCCCATCAATGTGACCTGTTGAACAACATGATTACACTTGTGTTACTCTACACATCTACTGCTCCAAACTACTGACTGAAAACTACTCCGCCGTTGTACTTCAAAGACCCACACTGCACCACTTTGGCTACCATCAGGAAACAAAAAGTGAAGCTAAAGTACACAGCCTAATGAAAGTAAAAGTAGGAATACAGCCAGAGCTGCAAAACCTACTGGAACACTTAATATAATCCAAACATGCCCAAACCATTCTGCTTGCTATACCAATGCTTAGACATCAGTGATTTTGCTGGTTTTTTTTTCCCAAAGCCTTTCCCAGGATTAACAAGAGGACCAAATTTATTTTGTGTACTTCACTGAAAGACAAACTTACGAGGGTCCTGACGGACACACTGCAAGACTGGTGCCCCTACAGCTCAAACAACAGACTCCAGACTCTCCAAAGGCAATTCACTAACAGACCACCAACCAGAAATATTTAGGCTGTGCATTTTGTTTTTCATAAAAAGCCCACCAACAACTGTTGAGGTGAAAACATGGCCAGAAGACTAACTCAAGTGCTACTTTAAGCTATCACAGCCCAGCCCAGCAGCCAGCTGAAGGCAGCTGTCAAAGAGACGCACGTGCTGATCTGCTGCAGCTTGAGGGACTTCTAAGGTGTGACAATTCCTCCTTAACTTCTGTGAACAGCTAGACTCAGTCATTACCAGTGGTTTGACTCCCAGTGATTTAGTAAGATGCTGCAGGAAATGTACGCTGCTATGTTCTCTGCAAGGTGCAATGGGAAAATGAGAAGGGGAGAGAGAGGATCATTTTCACTAATGGCTTTGCTTTTTGCTGAAGATTGACTCACCTCCTGTCATAGCCACTTCCATAAGAGAACTGCTGTCTCTGGCTCATGCTCATGTTGGACATTGCTCCAGATGGACTCTGGTTATACATATCTTGTATTCCACTGTTAGGCATTTGTCCAGGGGTCATGAAAGGCTCATTGCTTCCAGGCACTGCAACGGTAAAGGAAATTTAATATATTATTCTGGGTGCTTGAAAATATCTTTCTATTAAATGATGTATTTTAAAATAATGTTCAGATCCCTAACACTGCCAAGGAGAATTAGCTGATGTCTGACAAGCTCTCCAGGGTCTGATGAAAACACATGAAGCAGCACCACTACCAAGATGATTGTTATAATATTAAGGAGCTGCAAGCCGGGAAAGTAATTTCATCCTATGGAACTGAGCTCATCAGGCACCAGGCAGCTTCTTCCCTGTGGTCTTCATAGATGAAGATGAACTCGCTCTTGTTCTTTTCACCCCAAACAATGCTAAATATGAATGCAAACAATAAATCTTACAAAACAGATGAAAGCAAATCTCCTAGTTTGGATTACAAAGCTGTCAGAACCAGGCTTTTCTTTTTCCCATAAAGCCCTCATACACACACATATACCATAATTCAGTTATGGAAAGGATACTGTATCCTAAGGTAGCTTCTTGAGCAGGATGGGCATATTCTACAGGCCCAAGAAAAGGCACGTTGACCACTATTATTAGATATAAATCCCCAAGCAAATAGAGGAAGAGACTCTATCCTTTAGTCCCTCATAGTAGATAATGAACAGAGACATTTCTGTTTCGACAGGATAAATGTGAAATGTACAACAAAGTGCAATAAACCCACTTAATCTCACGTGGATATAAAACCTAAAGTGAATCTAAGGCAGAGGGGGTCTTCCCTTCCTCCAGCTGTGTCATGCTAGTGTCCATAGTCCAGGCAAAAGGATTTAAAGGGAAGGTTTAAAAAAAATCACATCACATTAACTCTCTCTTCTAAAGCATCTCCCCACTTCATCACATATCTTTCTTCCCCTGATTTCTGGACGTCTTCTTCTCATTCCTCCCTTTTGCTCCCTTTCAGTTTCCCCTTTCTTAATTTCATCTCCTCCATCTGCTCTTTTCTTTGCAGCCATTGCGAGCCTTGCTTGTGTTCTTTCCTCCCACTTTCCTATATGCGAGGCATGCAAGACTGATTCGTTTTAAGCACATTTTACAATATCCACAAAACCATCTGTAGGTTAAGTGCCCAAAAGGACAAGAGTCAGGTTTGAGATTACCTTTAATTTTTGCTTTCTAAAAATAAACAAACTTCGACTGTGTTTATCACCTTTTGTCAGGGCCTGTCCAAGTGAGAAAAAAATTAGCTTTCCTATTCTGAAAAATATGTGAACTGTGACAGAGAGCATTAGGAGACTTGCTCAGTTCCACACAGTGAATTCCCAAGTTCAGCCCTACTACAACCAGGCATGTGGCTTCACTGCTTCACATTCTAATACTGAAGTCCAGCATCTGATTTGCAGAGTAGCTACCCACCTTCAAGAAACATACGGCATTGCACAAAATCTAAACCTATGAATTTATGCCATTTCCTGAAATGTATTCCTACAAGTATTCTTAGGATTCTGTTAAGTCTAAAATAAACAGTGTGACTCTGAGAGATGACAATATGACCAGACCACAATGAAACACAATTGCACTGCACCTCTCTCTTTGCTACAAGGAGACCATTTTACCAATGGCAAAATTAGCAAAGTAAAAAAGCTCATTCTGATGACTAGAACATCTTGATTACATGGAAGTAGGGAAGAACACTTAAGCTCCTGCAAAGAAAATACCTTTTCTCATTCCACCGAAAGGATCTTTATTCGGCTCATATGGCATCCTTCCCATCATATCTGGCATGTTTATTCCCTGCTGGTATGGTGCATTTGGCGTCATGGAGTTTCGCTTCGGGAATGCTGAATCACTTACGTCAGAAAAGGGATCATGCACACTAACTGTGCTGTTTCTAGCAGATGAGAAAAAGGAGGCATTAACGTTATCACGTATTCATAAGAACTGTGAAAACAGACTGGACTATAATACACCTAGCCCATGATGCTGTGGCAGTGATCAGGGCAGAATACATCTGAGGAAGATGCCAAAAACTTCCACAGTGGACAATCATTAAAAAAACCCATTTTTCTCCCCAAGCTTATCTGGCTACTTACCTTAAAGATCAGGGTTTTTAAATCTAATTCAACTGTGTGTGTTCCTATTACTCATATAGAAGTCTAAACCCTTTTGAAATTTCACTAAGCTGTTTGCCTCACTACCCCAAGGCAGTGAGCTCCACAGGTTAATTGTATGCTGTGTCAAAATAGTATTACTTTTTATCAGTTTCATATTTATTACCTTTCAAATTTACCAAGCACCCCATTGATCTCCTGCTAGAGGAAAGACTAAACAGCAACACTTGATTTACCTCCCAAATACCATTTACTGTTATGGAGAGGCACTAACCTTTATGGTTGCAGTCAGATTTATTCTAAAGCCCTTAAAAATTCGGCTTGGAAAATGGGAGTTTCCCCGGTAACTATCAGATTTATTCTTAATGCAAAAGAAAAGTTTTTACATAGTGAAAGAAAACTCAATCTGAATTAAAGATTATTAAAAAAGGTTCTTGTTATCCTTTCTGCAGTATTACAGATAGAGAAAAAAAGAACCTAAGTATGTTACGTTTGGAGTGCCTCTGTACATAGTTCAGAGCTCAGCTACATTCCTG